ATTCACTATCATGAGAACAGTATGGAAAAGACCTGCCCCCATGATTCAGTTACCTCCCACTGGGTCCCTCCCCCAACATGTGGGAATTCAAGATGAGATTTGGGTGGGGACATAGCCAAACCACATCAACAATGTAAATATATATTAATGCATCACATTGTACTCTATAAATATATACAATTACTATTTGTCAATTAGAAATTTTTAAAAATTTTAAAGTCACCAATGTCACCATTGATTTTAAAGTCACCAAGTCACCAATTTTAATCAATCTTGACTATATAATGCAACCTCCATAGAAACACTAAAAAAAGGAGTCTGGAGAACTTCCAGATTGGTGAACACATACAGGTCTGGAGGTTGCCATGCCCAGAGAGGGCATGGAAGCTCTGCACCCACCAACCCTCCACCCCTTGCCCAATTTACCTCTTACATTTGGCTGCTCCTGAATTAAGTGAACACAAGGGATTTAACATTCATTAAACAGATCACATATTATGATTTCACTGCAGCCATGGTGCAGCTTATTAACTCTACAGAGCAAACCTTTGTATCACTTACTAACATATGACATGTAGTTTGCTGCATCAACTGACATGACAATTACGAATGTCAATATGACTGAGCACAGTGGCTCACGCCTATAATCCCAGCACTTTGGGAGGCCAAGGCAGGCAGATCACCTGAGATCAGGAGTTCGAGACCAGCCTGGTCAACATGGCAAAACCTGGTCTCTACTAAAAATACAAAAATTAGCCAGGCTTGGTGACGCGTGCCTGAAATCCTAGCTGCTCAGGAGGCTGAGGCAGGAAAATCACTCAAACCTGGGAGACAGAGGTTGCAGTGAGCTGAGGTTGCACCACTGCATTCCAGCCTGGGTGACAGAGTGAGACTCCATCTCAAAAAAATAAGAATAAAATAAGAATGTCAATATATAAAAAGGAATAGAAAATTGATAGAATTTTACTCTTTTGCTAAAATACATTATATTGTATCTTTGAGATTATTCTAGTACAAAGTGTAATAAAACTAGGTGTTTATTAAACCATTTAAATCATTGGTAAGTATACAAGGGCACTGAAGCATTTAATAGACAAAGTAATGTTAATCTATTGGTTACTTGCTCCTGCATTGTCATGCTGTTATAATTTACTTCATCACCTTGCTATTTGATACATAGTGTGAATTTCTCTTGTCACCCCAACTATAGACAAATTTTCATCTTACTACACAATCAAAATGGCATTGATGGGAATGAACTCCAGAGCCTGGGCCTGAACAGGGAGGTGGTCTCTCAGGCTTGATGCTCAGGCATATAACCTATATCTCTCTATTTTTGCCCTATCTCTTAAATATATGTAACATCATACAATGCTTTTCAATCTTTTTAAAAAGTGTGAAGCTCATGAAAGACAGCCTAAGAAACTATTACAGATTGGAGGAAACTAAGGAAAAATAAAACTGAATGCAGTGTGTATTCTAGATCAGAGAAAGAACATTAGTGGAGAAAGAACATTAGTGAAATGTGAATAATTTCAGTTAATAATGTTGTACCAGTAGCCGGGTGTGGTGGTGGGTGCCTGTAATCCCAGCTACTTGGAAGGCTGAGGCAGGAGAATCTCTTGAACCAGGGAGATGAAGATTACAGTGAGCCAAGACCGTGCTGTTGCATTCTAGCTTGGACAACAAGAGCAAAACTCTGTCTCAAAAAAAAATAAAGTTCCAGTGTTAATTTCCTGGTTTTGCACATTATACTGTGGTTTTGTAAACTGTTAACATTAGGACAAGCAGAGTGAGTGGTATACAGGAACTCCACTATTTTGCAACTTTCCTGTAAGTCTAAAATGGGTTTAAAATTTAAAGTTTTTAAAAAATTAAAAAAAGAAAAGCAAACACCAGAATCCTTTCATTTACAAATGTAGCAAATATTTATTAAGTGCCTTTTATGTGCCAGGCACTGGACACTGAAAATATTAATAGAATAGTTAACCAGATAGACCAGGTTCCTACCATCATGGAGATTAACATAACACAATGGTGAGGTATAAAGATGGGTTATCAGACAAATAATTACAGTGATAAAAAAAAAAAAAAATGCTACCCATGGCCAGGTGCGGTGGCTCACACCTGTAATCCTAGCACTTTGGGAGGCCAAGGCGGGAGAATCACTTGAGGTCAGGAGTTCAAGACCAGACTGACCAATATGGTGAAACCCCGTCTCTGCTAAAAATACAAAAATTAGCCAGGTGTGGCACACACCTGTAATCCCAGCTACTCGGGAGGCTGAGGCAGGAGAATCATTTGATCCTAGAGGCAGAGGTTGCAGTGAGCTGAGATTGCGCCCCTGCACACCAGCCTGGGCAACAGAGCCGGACTGTGTCTTAAAAAAAAGGGAGAGGAAAAAAATGCTACCTAGAAAAGGAAGATGTAAATGAGCAACCTCACCTGGTCTATGATGTCAAAATCTTCCCTGAGACCTGAAAAAGGAGTAGATGTTGTCATGGGGGTGGAGGGCGGGCGCATGGCACGTTTCAGCACCTACAAGTGGGTCAGTGTGAATGAAGCCTCGAGCAAACAGGAGAGTGACTGCAGAGAGCAGGAAGCAGTCAGTCATAGGATTCTTTATGGCTTTCTACTCCAACCTAAGAGTGGCAGGATGCCCTGAATAATTTTAAGTGTGGGACTGATACGATCAGGTTTTTGTCTTTTTAAGATCTCTGTAAGTCAACTACAGAGAAACAAGAGTAGGTCTTGGGAAAACCTAAGAAGCAGCAACACGGAAAAGGCAGGCAAAGGAAAACAGATTAGATCACAGCTCCCTGAGAGAGACGGTAAAAGTAAAGCAAGAGTCACCAGTCACCAGTATCAGATACTGTCTTGGAAGCAGTAATGAGGTCAGGCCAGGCCTGGTGGCTCACACCTGTAATCCCAGCACCAGGCCGAGGTGGGTGGATCACTTGAGCTAAGGTGTTTGAGACCAGCCTGGGCAACATGGTGAAACCTCACCTCTACTAAAATTAGCCAGGTGTGGTAGCGTATACCTGTAGTCCCAGCTACTTGGGAGGCTGAAGTGGGAGGATGGCTTGGGTCCAGGAGGCAGAGGTTGAGGGAGAGGTTGCAGCGAGGTAAGATCACACCACTGCACCCTAGGCAGGACGACAGAACCAGACTCAAAGAGAGAGAGAGAGAGGGAGGGAGAGAGGGAGGGAGAGAGGGAGGGAGGGAGGGAGGGGAGAAAGAGAGAGAGAGAGAAAGAGAGAGAAAGAAAGAAGTAATGAGGTCCATTGCATGAACAACATAAAGGTTTTTGGTGGGCATAACCAGAGCAGTTTCAGCAGAGTACTAAGGGCAGAACAAAAGCCAGATTATAGAGAACTGAGAAATGGGCGATGAGGAAGTAGAGAAAGTATTGACAATTTTTTGAAGAGTTGTGACCTTGAAAAAAAGAGAGGATGGTAGTTGCAAAAGGGGTGAGAGTTTTTAATGTTGGGAGACATTAAATTATTATTATTTTGAGACAGAGTCTCACTCTGTCACCCAGGCTGGAGTGCAGTGGCTTGATCTCTGCTCACTGCAATCTCCACCCACTCAGCTCAAGCATTTCTTGTGCCTCAGGCTCCTGAGTAGCTGGGATTACAGGCATGCACCACCATACCTGGCTAATTTTTATACTTTTAGTAGGGACGGGGTTTCACCATGTTGATCAGGCTGATCTTGAACTTCTGACCTCAATGATCCGCCCATCTCATCCTCCCAAAGTGCTGGATTACAGGTGTGAGGCACTGCGCTCAGCCTAATTTCTTTCCTTTTAAGCCACTCTTGTCTTCACTTCCTTCCCTATCCAGTCTAGATCCCACTGTCTAGTGCTTTCTAAGGTAAGAAAGATTTCAGAAGGGGTGTGACCTCCGAAGTGGGTGACTGAAGTAGAAAGATGGTGAAAAACATTGAGGTTGAGGAAGTCAAGGAAATGAAAGGCTCCAGTAGTTGTTCTGAATTCTGGCTTGGATCAAAATCACTTGTGGGGCATTTAAAAAATATGTAGATGGCAGATTTCACCTCTGCAGATTCTGACTTAAGAGCTCTTGGGTGGAACCTGGACGTCTATGTATTTACATCTGTGTATTTTAAAATCACTACAAGTGTGTCTAATGCACAGCTCAGACAGAACCACTGCACAGGCAGTGAGCTTCACTGGTATTCCTTAGGCATGGATTTTGGTATCCATGGGGGTTCTGGAACCAATGTAACAGATATAAAATACTAATTTAGCACACTTTGGGAAAACTACAATTAGGTAATCTCTGGAGCCCTCTTCAGTTTGTACTGAAAAGAAAAATGGATCAGTCTGAGCTGTTGTGCACCCTGGGTGCAGAACATCGCCCCACTGCACCCATGCAGGGCGCACTTGTTTAGAGTCATTTTGTTCCGGACTCACCCATTATCTTCACATTCCTGGAATTTATGATACAAAAACAATGTATAGCCAAACAATACCTTATGTGATTTTGATATAGATTTTTGGTAAACAACTCAGGAACTGCTCGTTATTTTCCTTTAAAAATCCACTTAGGGCCAGGCGCTGTGGCTCATGCCTGTAATCCCAGCACTTTGGGAGTCTGGGACAGGCGGATCACCAGGTCAGGAGTTCGAGACCATCCTGGCCAACATGATGAAACCCCATCTCTACTAAAAATACAAAAATTAGCCAGGCGTGGTGGTGCATACCTATAGTCCCTGCTATTCAGGAGGCTGAGGCAGAAAAATCACTTGAACCTGGGAGGCAGAGGTTGCAGTGAGCCGAGATTGCACCACTGCATTCCAGCCTGGGCGACAGAGCGAGACTCCGTCTCAAAAAAAAAAAAATCATCCACTTATAACTGCTGTTAATCAGAGTGTATTTTCATGGCAACTTGAATCTGTGCTCCCAAGTTGAAATCTTCAAGCTTGGCCCAAATAAGCTCTCCACTTAGATTAACTTTGCCTCAACTTCTTCCTTTTAGGTCAACATACCTGGTGTAAGGAGGCAGGATTGAGAGTGACTCTCACCCACCACTGGTGTTTCTCTTTGAAAGTGGCGCTTGGCACCAGCATGAACTCCCCATCCTCAGCAGTCCCACCAGGTATTTTTGGTAAGTTCTCCTGAATTCAGACCTCCCACTATTTGGGTGAAGTTGTAGACATTATTTGGGCTGTTTTTCAAATCTTCCCTTTTCCTTAAGAGTGAGGGCTTCGGTCTCTGTCTTTGGACAGGAGATTCAGGTCAAGATATCTGCAGAGAACTGCTTTTTTTTTTTTTTTCTGCTTCTGTCACAGCAGAAAGTTCGGGTCAAAGTTTTTCTGCCTCTGCCTCGGGACAGGAGGTTAGGGTAAGGGATTGGCAGTGTGGCACCTATGGTCTCATTTTATAGAGCGTGCTTTTAAGATTGCAGCTGTGTTTTATTTTTGGGGATTGGGGCTTGGTTTTACATTTGTGACCATCACCAGCTGGGTTTGTGTATGACACTTATGGGGCGTCCTCTTGTAAATATCTAGGAAAGTGGACCCACCTAACACGGGGTGGTCATAAGCAGCAGTAGCCAACACGGGATCCTTTGAAATGTAAAGTAATTCATTTGCATGCACAATTAGGGGGGAAAAGCTGGTGTTAGAACCAGACAACCTGAAGAGGAGACCTATTTTAGGTTTGTCCCGGCTGAAATCTGGTAAGAGATTTGGAAAGACTTTTTATGTTAGAGCTCTGTGGTCAGAAATCAGCTTAATTAAAAGCCTATATTTAGGTTATCACGTTTTCTGGAGCAAGGAAGTCTTCTCCACATTTTTTCTCTTTTAGATCCTGTTTCTGGGAATTTTTTTAGCCAGCCCTTTTTAAATGTGTTCTTTCCCTGTTTGCTTCCTATGTTGGCATTTTTGCTGAGAACAGTGTAAAACTTCATTGGCCTTTTTGAAAGCTTTTGTAGCAAGGAGCACTGTGGATGCATTGCATAGCCTGGTATTGTGGTGTTTCCTTCTTTTTGGGGACTAGGGATTAAATATAGAAGTGAGATTTTTGATTTTTAAATATCTAGGTGTACTGCCTTCCAGTTGTGCCTGCCTTTCATGTATTTAAATATTAGGCCCTGGAAACTGCAGATACTTTCTTTGTCCTGTGTTCATTAAAGGGCTTCATCCTGAAGTCAGTTCATTCATGTTTCTGCAGAAGATATGATTTCATTGTTTTTTGTGGCTGTATGGTATTCCACGTGCAGGTTTGTTACATAGACATGTTGCGTAGCAATGAGGTCTGGGTTTCTGATGTACGCATCATTCTAGTAGTGAACATTGCACCTGGTAGGTCATCTTTCAACGCTAACCCCTGTCCCATCCTCCCTCCTTTTGGAGTCCCCAGTGTCTGTTGTTCCCCTCTGTATGTCCACATGCACCCGTTGTTTAGCTCCTACTTACAAGTGAGAATGTGCAGTCTTTGATTTTGTGTTTCTGCGTTATTTCACCTAGGATAACGGCCTCCAGCTCCATCCATGTTGCTGCAAAAGGCATGATTTCACTCTTTTTTATGACTGCATAGTATTCCATGTTGTATGTATATTACATTTTCTTCATTGAATCATCCATTGATGGACACTGAGGTTGATTCCATGACTTTGCTGTTGTGAATGGTGCTGTGATAAACATACAAGTACAAGTGTCTTTTTTTATATAATAATTTATTTATATTTGGATAGGTACCCAATAGTGGGATTGCTGGGTTGAATGGTAATTCTATTTTTAGTTCTTTGAGAAATCTCTGTGCTGTTTTTCATTGAGGTTATACTAATTTACATTCCCACCAGCAGCGTGTACATGTTCCCACTTCTCTCCATCCTCACCAACATCCTTTTTTTTTTTTTTGAGATGGAGTCTCGCTATGTCGCCAAGGCTGGAGTACAGTGTTGCAGTCTCAGCTCACTGCAACCTCCATCTCCCAGGTTCAAGCAATTCTCCTGTCTCAGCTTCCTGAATAGCTGGGATTACAGGCATGTGCCGCCATGCCTGGCTAATTTTTGTATTTTTTGTAGAGACGGGGTTTCACCATGTTGGTCAGGCTGGTCTCGAACTCCTGACCTCATGATCCACCTGCCTTGGCCTCCCAAAGTGCTAGGATTACAGGCGTGAGCCACCATGCCCGGCCAACATCTGTTGTTTTTTGGCTTTTTAATCATAGCCATTCTGACTGGTGTGAGATGGTATCTCCTTGTGGTTTGAATTTGCATTTCACTGTTGATGAGTGATGTTAAGCATTGTTTCATATGTTTGTTGGCTGCTTGTATGTCCCACTTTTTGATGCGTTTTTTTTTTTTTTCTTGTTGAGTTTCTTGTAGATTCTGGATATTAGTCCTTTGTCAGATGCATGGTTTGCAAATGTTTTCTCCTGTTGTTTATTGTGTTGAAAATTTATTTTGCAATGCAGAAGCTTCTTAATTTAAGTCCCGGTTATTTATCTTTGCTTTTGTTGCGTTTGCTTTTGAGGTCTCAGTCATAAATTCTTTGCCTGGGCCAATGTCCAGAAGAGTTTTTCCTAGGTTTTCTTCCAGGTTTCTTATAGTTTCAGGTCTTATGCTTAGGTCTTAATGTAATACATCTTGAGTTAATTTTTGTAGACGGTAAAAGATAGGGGTCCTGGCTGGCGCGATGGCTCATGCCTGTAATCCCAGTATTTTGGGAGGCTGAGGCGGGTAGATCATGAGGTCAGGAGATCGAGACTATCCTGGCCAACATGGTGAAACCCTGTCTCCACTAAAAAATACAAAAAAACTAGCTGGGCATGGTGGCATGTGCCTGTAATCCCAGTTACTTGGGAGGCTGAGGCAGGAGAAATCGTTTGAACCAGGGAGACAGAGGTTGCAGTGAGCCGAGATCACGCCACTGCACTCCAGCCTGGTCAACAGAGCAAGACCCCGTCTTAAAAAAAAAAAAAAAAAAAAAGATAGGGGTCCAGTATCATTCTTCTACATGTGGATATCCAAGTTTTCCCTCACCATTTATTGAATAGGATGTCCTTTCCCCATGTATATTTTTGTTAACTTTGTCAAAGACCAGTTGATTGTAGGTACGTGGCTTTACTTATGGATTATCTATTCTTTTCTGTTGATCTGTGTGTCTGTTTTTGTACCAGTACTGTGCTACTTTGTTTACTGTAGCCTTGTAGTATAATTTGAAGTCACATAATGTGATGCCTCTAGCTTTGTTCTTTTTGCTTAGGATTGCTTTGATTATTCAGGTTCTTTTTTGGTTCCCTATGAATTTTAGGATTGTTTTTTCTAATTCTGTGAAAAATGACATTGGTAATTTGATAGGAATTGTGTTGAATCTGTAGATTGCTTTGAACAGTGTGGCCATTTTAATGATATTGATTCTTCAAATCCATGAGCATAGAATGTTTTTTCATTTGTGTCATCTACCATTTCTTTCATCAGTGTTTGGTAATTCTCCTTATAGAGATCTTTCACAACTTTGGTTAAATGTATTCCTAGGTAATTTTGTGTGGCTATTGTAAATGGGATTGCCTTCTTGGTTTGGTTCTCAGCTTGAACGTTTTAAGTATATTGAAATATTACTGATTTTTTTACATTAATTTTTTTCTTATTTTTCGAATATATATATGTATGTGTGTATATATGTGTATGTATTTTTTTAAACAGAGACAGGGTGTCATCATGTTGCCCAAGCTGGTCTTGAACTCCCAGGCTCAAGCTATCCTCCCACCTCAGCCTCCCAAAATGCTGGGATTATAGGCATGAGCCACTGTACACTAATTTGTATCTTGAAACTTCTACTGAAGTCATTTATCAAATCTTTAGGGTTTTCTAGGTATAAGATCATGTCATCAGCAAACAGAGATCATTTAACTTACTCTTTTCCAGTGTGAATGTCCTTTCTTTCTTTCTCTTGCCTGATAGCTGTGGCCAGGACTTCCATTACTATGTTGAATAGGAGTGGTGAGAATTTGCATCCTTGTCTTTTTCCAGTTCTTTGGGGAATGCTTTCAACTTTTCCCCATTCAATATGATGTTGGCTGTGGGTTTGTCATATATGGCTTTTATTATTTTGAAGTATGTTCCTTTGATGCCTGGTTTGTTGAGGGTTTTTTAGTTTTGTTTTTGTTTTTTAAGACAGAGTCTTACTCTGTCGCCCAGGCTTCCGTACAGTGGCATGATCTTGGCTCACTGCAACCTCTGCCTCCCAGGCTCAAGCGATCCTCCCACCTCAGCCTCCCAAGTAGCTGGGACTACAGGTGCAAGCCACCACACCCAGCTAATTTTTGTTTTTTTTGTAGAGACAGGGCCTCATCATGTTGCCCTAGCTGGTCTCAAACTTCTGGCCTCACGTGATCTGCCTGCCTCGGCCTCCCAAAGTACTGGGATTACAGGCATGAACTGCCATGCCTGGCTCCACTGTGCCCCAGATTCTACCCGTGGGTTCTCTGACAGGTTCCAGCACTCTTCCCTCGGCCTTCCCCTTCAGCCACAGTCATTCTCACCTATAACTTTTGTTCTTTCTACGGACAACTGGCTCTGCCATCTCTAGTCGCCCATCTTGGGGGAAAACCCGTCTGCTTCTCCTGACTGTGGGGCTTCTTCCAAGCTTATGCTTGGGGAATGAAGAACCTATTTCTTAAAGTGCTTTTAAATCACTCCTGAAAGGTCTGCCTCTTAATGAAGGGGTTTTGAAATGTTAGATTCCTGCCATGCTTGGGCCATGAATGGCTGCCTCATCTCACAGGACCATTTCACTGGAACTGCAGTTTTCTGTTTTAAAAAAATTGCTCCTCAGAATGGCCTCTTTCTTTATTTCCATCACTCAACATTTTAAAATAGATTTCTCAGGTCAACCTTTGTGAACAGAAAAAGAATGATTCCTTCATGATTATTAGCAAATAATAATACAATCTTACTCTGTTGTTGAAACACGTGATTTTCCATCTTTCTAAAGAAAACAATCACTGTTTCTTAAGGCAGGGAGCATGTGTTCTCTGTTCTGGAAAAGGTTAGGAAAAAGGACTGAGGCTGAATTTGTTGTCATTGACACATGTACACATCTCTGCCTTTTGTAATGTGTGAATCTGAGAAATTCTAAAAGTGCTTTTTGATTGAAGAATGCCACACCTAACTGTGCTCTGTCTGTGTGAAGAATAGTTTGTATGTCTCTTTACAGACTCTGTAAGCCCCTAGGTGGCTGAGACTGCTGGATTTCTTCTGCTGACCCTGGTGCATCTCATTACAGGTCTTCAACCCAAAATTCTATCTTATAAGATACCTGCCAGGATGCAGATTTGAATACCATAGTGAAGTCTGTACATGAGGAAGTGATGCCTTTAGGGAGGGGAGAAAACGATAATAACAACCTTCAAGAGCCCCTACATCTCAACTCGGCATAAACAAGGCAAGATTCTGAGAGTGGCCACCCCTGGAAGCAGAAATCATTCTTGTGGCTATCCATTGGCTCCTGAGGCTCTCATCAGAGATGGGGCACCTTTAGTACCAGGGAGTGGCTGTTCCCCATAAGGTACTGGAAATCAACTTTCAAGAGCAGCCCCAGCTGCTGACGCTACTGGTCCTGGTGCGTCTCCTGACTGTCATGTAGAAGATAGCAGAGCTTTGGCGACTTTACAACATAAGAACTGCAGAGAGGTGTAATCCCAGTGGAAGACTGAATCCGGAGACTCAAAAAGGAAGGTAAACATGTGGAAAAATGAGAATAGTGACATCTCCTTTGTATATTGGAAAGATCACCTTAGGGGAGAGGAGAGGCAGATCTCTGGAGTGTTCGCTTTGGGGTGAATTCATTCCTTGTGGGGGTAAAGAGTAAGAATGGGCCCTCACCCATGACCTCTCCATCGCCTCATCCTACTAGTTCTCATATACACTTAGAGTCACTTGGAGACTTTACAATTTAAAATGCTGTTGCTCAGACCCACCCTAGATCAATTAAATCCAAATCTCTGAGTGTAGGGCTTCTTTTCAAGTTGCCACCAGTATTTAGCCAGGGTTGAAAGCCCCTGAGCTCCCCTATGCCACAACAAGAGGAGTTGCACCCCAGAAGAGAGACAGTTCTGCATTGAATTCCCCAATGTCATAGAGAAGTAGAGACGTCACAGCCTTTAGGCTTATGTCTTAGAGGGCTTCTCAGTACTGTCTGCCATACCTACACAAAGCAGAATCTCCCAGATTAAATTTAGCCTTTGTGTCGTGTATTAACAAGATGCTTCTCTTTTTCTTGGTTATGCCTTCTCAGAATGCTGTTTTTTCTCAGGAGGGGAACATGGAGGAGAAAGAAATGAATGATGGCTCACAGATGGTGAGATCCCAGGTAAGTTCGGTTTTCCTCTCCTCTGAAATGCCATTGCAGTTCTCAGAATGTGGGCACTGTTACTTTTTCACTTCTCAGAAGTGCTGCGTCCCAAAAATCCAGAGCCCAGGAGATTCATGTGACAAATGATACACTCTCCACAGCACGTTTTCCATTCACCTGTGTAGCTCTTTCTAGCTCTTCCCTCCTTCCAGCATTTTCACCAGACTCAATTTCATGGATTTGTGCCTGTGCTGGACGTTGTGAAGAAAACAAAAGAAAACAATGGACTGTCTTTTAATCATCCTTAAATAGCTCACTAAAATTTAAACAATGCTTGCATTCTCCCTGTAAACACAGTGACTGATGCCCAGGCCCCTAGGACTGCTTGGAGCTAATGGGATTAATAAGTATGCCTGAGGGCAACATCAATCACAAATTAATGTTTCTCAAGCCTCTGTTGTATCTCTTCCAAAACCTGTTTAAGTCTGTTATGATTCCTCTTTTTTTTTTTTTTTTTTTTTGAGACGAAGTCTCACTCTGTTGCCCAGGCTAGAGTGCAGTGGCGCGATCTCAGCTCACTGCAACCTCTGCCTCCTGGGTTTAAATGATTCTCCTGCCTCAGCCTCCCAAGTAGCTGGGACTACAGGCGCCCGCCACTATGCCTGGCTAATTTTTTGTATTTTTAGTAGAGATGGGCTTTCACTGAGTTAGCCAGGATGGTCTCGATCTCCTGACATCGTTATCCACCCACCTTGGCCTCCCAAAGAGCTGGGGTTACAGACGTGAGCCACCACGCCCGGCCTAAGTCTGTTATGATTCTATAATCTGATTGGGTATTATGTAAACTGATGAGTATGAGTGCAACAAGAATTGTTTCTATGAAAATTAGTCTAATGCTTTGGAAGGAGTTGATAAATGCTGTCACTTTTGAAAAATTGCTTTCAAATTAGGTGTTAGCAATACTACATCACTGAAGAAAAATCATAAAACTCTCAGGATTCCTCCGCAAATATCATTTCCCATGTGTCAGTTGCTTATTCCAACTTCATGAAACAGAAACTGTTTCTTTATAGGTATGAGTACCCAGTCTTTAAAATCACTCATAGAAAAGGCTTAGCTGACTGTGTGCAGTGGCTCATGCCTATAATCCCAGCACTTTGGGAGCCCGAGGCAGGCAGATCACAAGGTCAGGAGTTCCAGGAGCAGCCTAATGTGGTGAAACCCCATCTCTACTAAAAATACAAAAATTAGCCAGGCATGGTGGTGAGTGCCTGTCGTCCCAGCTACTCGGGAGGCTGAGGCAGGAGAACCGCTTGAACCCGGGAGGCAGAGGTTGCATTGAGCTGAGATCATGCCACTGCACTCCAGCCTGGGCAACAGAGCAAGACTCCATCTCAAAAAAAAAAAAAAATAGGCTTAGTTTTATTTCCAAAGATGAGAAAATGAATGCACATTTATATGTTTTAAATTAAAATAAAATGTTTAAGATCTATTTTATGGATCGCTAATTTAGCCATCTTTTTAAATTAACACATCAGATACCAGTCTCAATTGCTTCAGATAGGATTTCTATCATTCCAATAATATGTGATATCATTATTCTTATGTAGCCAATAAACTCATTGAAGGGGATTTTTTTGGTTTGTTTTTTGTTTTTTGTAGAGACAAGCTTTTACTATGTTGCCCAAGCTGCTCTTAAAGTCCTGGTCTCAAGCCATCCTCCCACCTCTCCCTGTTAAAGTGCTGGGATTGCAGGTGTGAGCCGCCACACGCAGCATGGGGGGGCTTGTTAAAACCCACATCATACAACTAATACTCAAAAATGCATAATGTTGGATGCTGCTGTGAATGCAAAAGAAAACAAATACAACAGGTGCTGGGAGAAGGGAGAAGTCTGATTGAGACTGTAGGGATGAGGGAAGACTTCATGAAAAAGGCAGAGTTTGAATTTGTGCCAATACCAGCAGGTAGGGTTTGGAGATTAGAGAAAACGGGGTACCATTGCAGACAGGAAATAAAACTTGAGCGAGAGCAGGGACAATAAGGAGACTGCCAGCTAGAGCTGAGCTTTTATTTGGTGTATATTAGTGCTTTGGGGTCTTTGGGTTTCAAGGGATAGATTCATTTGGTTTATTCTTTTTTTTTTTTTTTTTTGAGACAGAGACTTACTGTGTCACCCAGGCTCGAGTGCAATGGCACAATCTTGGCTCACTGCAACCTCCACCTCCCAGGTTCAAGTGATTCTCCTGCCTCAGCCTCCCAAGTAGCTGGGATTACAGGCACGCGCCACCACGCCCAGCTAATTTTTGTATTTTAGTAGAGACGGGGTTTTGCCATGTTGACCAGGCTGGTCCACCCACCTCAGCCTCCCAAAGTATTGGGATTACAGGCATGAGCCACCGCACCTGGCCCAATTGGTTTATTCTTAATTAACTGTAAGACTCCCCAAAGACAGGAATAGAAAGACATTTAGAACTAAGGTGGCATGTCTGCTTTTCCACATTCTAGCCCAAGGAGTTAGTTTTAATTTTCTGGAGCCATTTATTATGTTTAGAAGGAAGATGATTCATTCACTCAATAAATATTTTTTGAGCAGCTAGTATGTAACAGAAATTTTTTTTCTTTTCCTTTTTTCTTCTTATGGTCTACTGGTCATTTCATATGTGACAAAAATTATACTTTTTAGCAGCTAGACATCACTGAGAAAAATAGACCTGACCCCAAACCCACGGAGCTTATTGAAAGACATTTAGCAACTATACTAATAAATTGCAAAAGAGATGTTTTTTAAACAAAATGAAAACAAGGTGCTATGAATACACATTAGGGAATCAGGGAAAAACTGTGGGGAAGTGAAATTTAAGATGAGAAAGAAAAGATACATAGAACCTACAAAAAGTAAGTGGAAAAGAGCATTTTGGACATATGCTAAAAATCACCTGCAAAAAACATGGGTTTATTTGAGAAATTAAAAGAAGGCCACTGTGGTTGGCGTGGAAGGAGGGAGAGAATGACTTGAAGTGAGCTTGGAGAAGTGAGCAGGGCTTAAATACACAAAGCCTGTGGCCATGAAAACAGGTCTGACTTTTACTCTGAGTGCAGTGGAAAGCCTTTGGGGGAATTTAAGCAGAAAGATAACATAATAAGTAATCCAGTTCTACAATAAAAATCATCCTGTTGCTGTATATCTTAACTGAATTTGTGAGAGGCAGAAGTTGAAAGGGGAAAAACCAGTTAAGCTACTGTAGCATTTTCAATGATAGAAAATAGTGTAGTCATTGGAGGAAAGGAGGGAGATTTGAGTGCTTTCCTTTAGAAACAGCAGAGGTTAGCTAAGGGGTAAAAACAAAGGAAGAAAAAAGATGACTTCTAAGAATGGAACCCAGGAAATGGCACCATTGGTAATGGTAAATCAGATCATGTCATTCCTCTGCTCAAAGCACATGGCTCCCATTTCACTCAGAGTAAAACCCAAAGTCCTTATGATGGCCTAAACAGTCCTGTAGAATCTGGCCCTGTTACCTGTCGAATTTCATCATTTACTTTTCTTCCCCTTACTTCATTCTGGCCATCCTGGCCTCATTCTTCTTCCTTAAACGTGGCCGTGGGGCCTTTGCACTGTTAACCTGTCAAGCTTCTTTCTCAAATGTCATCTCTGCAGTGCCATCTTTCCTGACCACCCTATTTAAATGTGTAACTGCCCCACACCCACATTCTCGAACCGTTACCCTACTTTACTTTTATCTTCCGACATACTATATAATTTACCCAGTTATGCTGTTTGTTGTCTACTTTCTTTTCTAGAATATAAGTTTCATAAAGGCAGGGAGTTTTTGTCTCTTTTGTTCACTGGTGCATCCCAAGCACCATGCCTGGCATATATATAGGAAGCACTGAATAACCATTCATTAAACACATGGGGAATTTAGCATATGATAAAGGTAACATCTCAAACCGGTGATAAAAAGCTGCTTTGTTCAATAATTGATGTTGGGATTTCTGGGGAAACATCTGGAAAAAGATAAAGTTGGATCTCTACCTCATACTTTACATCAGAACAGTCTTCAAATGGATCAAAGATTTAAATATGAAAAATGAAACCACAAAAAGTTATGCAAGAAAAAATGGGAGAATTCCTTTATAACTTTCACCAGAAAAACTTTCTAATTACAACTGAGAATCCAGAAGCCATAATTAAAAACACCAAAAGCGTCCGGGTTCAATGGCTCATGTCTGTAATCCCAGCACTTTGGGAGGCCGAGGCGGACGGATCACAAGGTCAGGAGATCAAGACCATCCTGGCTAACACAGTGAAACCCCTTCTCTACTAAAAATACAAAAAATTAGCCAGCCAGGCGTGGTGGCAGGTGCCTGTAGTCCCAGCTACTCGGGAGGCTGAGGCAGGAGAATGGCGTGAACCCGGGAGGCAGAGTTTGCAGTGAGCCGAGATCACACCACTGCATTCCAGCCTGGGTGACAGAGTGAGACTCCGTCTTACAAAAAAAAAAAAAAAAAAAAAGCATCTGCATGGAAAAAAATTTAAAAACTATAAGCAAAGTAAAAATACATATCAAATTGAAAAAAATATTTTGCCACTCAAATTACAGTAGTCTAATCTTTCTAATATATAAAATACTTCTCTAAATCAGCAAGAGATTAGGAGTCCAACAGAAAAAGATACAAAAGGCCAGGGACAGTGGCTCATGCCTGTAATCCCAGCACTTTGGGAGGCTGAGGTGGGCTGATCACTTGAGGTCAGGAGTTTGAGACAAGTCTGACCAACATGGTGAAACTTCATAAAAATTAGCTGGGGACTAATGGTGGTGTGTGCGCCTGTAGTCTCAGCTACACAGTAGGCTGAGGTCAGAGGATACTTGAGCCCAGGAGGTGAAGGTTGCAGTGAGCCGTGTTTGTACCGCTGCACTCCAGGCTGGGTGACAGTGAGACCCTGTCTCAAAAAAAAAAAAAAAATTTTGTAAAAAGACAGTTTACAGCAAATAAAATTCAAATGGATCTTAAACACTGAAAAAGTGTTCATCTGTACAAGAGGAAATTTGTATTAAAACTAGAGAAAGCTGGATATTTTATCATCAGGCTTGATATTTGCCATGAGTTTCATATTTTCCGCAAGTGTAACATATTCTGTTAGCAAAGCTGTGGGGAAACAGACACCTTACACTGCTGGTGTGAATGTGACCGATTGCATTTTCAGAAAAATGGCCAAAATACCTCCCATCCCAAATGCTTTCTTTGCAAGTGACTTTGACACTCATCCCATTATAGATATGGAGGTCTGTGTGCCCTCCATTGGATCTCAGCAAGGCTGTGACTGAAAGATGCAAAGCTTTGTGACTTTCAAGGCAGATCATAAATGGCAGTAAGACTTCTACCTCATTCTGTTGGGATGTTTACTCTAAACCCGGCCACCTTGTCAGGAGGAAATCCGGACAGCCCATGGAAAAGCCCATATGGAGAGAAGCCAAGGCCTACAGCCCTAGCTGAGCTCCCAGCTGAAAGCCAGCACCAATTTGCCAGCTTTGTGAGTAAGCCATCTTGAAAGTGAATCCTCCAATCCCAGTCAAACCTTCCCACCTTGTCCTGCCCAAATTGCAGATTTATGAGTAAAGTAAATGATACTTGCTATTTTAATCCCCCAAGTTTTGGGATGGTTTGGTATGCAGCAAGATAATTGTTAGGGATTTTAGTACCTGAAAGTGGAGTGCTGCAAAAACAAAAACCTAAACCATAGGGCACTAGCTTTGGAACTGAGCACTGGGCAGAAGGTAGAAAACGAGTGAGGGCCTTTGTCAAAACTCAAAGAATAGTAAGGAGAATGTTATTAGAAGCTGGAGGATAGAAGACCCTCGAAGAAGAAATGTTGGATAACATTGTTACCTTCAGGAACAAGGAAAATAGAGGCCAGGCACGGTGGCTCATGCCTGTCATCCCAGCACTTTGAGAGGCTAAGGCAGGTGGATCACTTGAGGTCAGGAGTTTGAGACTAGCCTGGCCGACACAGTGAAACCCCGTCTTTACTAAAAATACAAAAATTAGCTGGGCATGGTGGCTTGCACCTGTAATCCCAGCTACTCGGGAGGCTGAGACAGGAGAATCACCTGAACCCGGGAGGCAGAGGTTGCAGTGAACCAAGATTGTACCACTGCACTCTAGCCTGGATGACAGAGAGAAACTCTGCCTCAAAAAAAAAAAAAAAAAAGGAAAATAGAGAATATAGTTAATGAACTCAGTGATCTACTAAGGAGATTCTCAAGTAGAAGATTGAAAGTACCAACTGGCAGTTTCTGGCTTCCTAAAGTAAAATGTGAGGGAAAAAGATAAACTCAATGAAGAACTAGTAAATATAAGTGAACAATGAACTTCTGAGTTTGAAAAGAAAACTTTCTCATTCACATCTGTCCAAGCAGCAAATAATAACCAAATTCAGAAAGGGATTCACACCAAAGGTGGACTATAATACCCTGTGTCACAACTTCAGAAGGATCCAGGGCAGTGCCTCAGAGGACCTGTCCTCTCTTAAACACAAGGTTTCTAAGAATGGTTAAGGTGACGTGCCACTGCAGTCTCACAGGGAACCCAAAGGAGAGAATGGCTGATCTCAAAGAGATTTATGGGTGTGGTATTTGTATTGTAGCATAGCTGGATTATAAATTGGTAAACACTCCAGTTTGGTTTTTCTTTTGTTTTGTTTTGTTTTATTTTGTTTTTTTGAGATGGAATCTTGCTCTGTTGCCCAGGCTAGAGCGCAGTGGCTCGATCTTGGCTCACTACAACCTCCACCTCCCGAGTTCAAGCAATTCTCCTGCCCCAGCCTCCCAAGTAGGAGGGACTATAGGTGTGTGCCACCATGCCTGGCCAATTTTTTAAAAAATTTTTTACACTTTTATTGAAGTAAAGGAACATACAAAAATACATATACTATAAGTGTTAAAAATTCAATTATCACCAAGTGAATTCATCCATGCAATCTTAATCCAGATCAAGAAACAGAACATTACCAATATCCCAGAAGATCCTTCTGTGTGTTCCCTCCTCAAGTGTATTATTATTATTTTTTAATTATAGTTAATTATACTTTAAGTTCTGGGATATGTGTACAGAATGTGCAAGTTTGTTACACAGGTACACATACTATGAACAGCACTCATATAAAACAGCAACCTTAACTGATAAATGTTGTGTGTTCTGACTGCTCCACCATCTGGCTGTTCCTCCATCGCCCTCTCCCCCAGCTTCCCTATTCCCTGAGACACAGCAATATTGAAATTAGGCCAAGTAATAACCCTACAATGGCCTCTGAGCATTCAAGTGAAAGGAAGAGAATCGCATTCTTCACTAAAAGGAACCAGGGATTTTTTGCCAGTTATGGATGAGCAAAGAAAGTGGTTTCTTGAGATGGAATCTACTCCTGGTGAAGATGCTTTGAACATTGTTGGAATGACAGTCAAAAGCTGAAAATGATTAAGATTAATGAGAAGAGCATGTCAAATGTATTTGAAATAGGCCAAAAGCTTGGCCTCTTGGGCCAAACAGCCAAGTCATGTGTACAAAGGAAAAGCTATTGAAGAAAATTAAAATTGCTACTCCAGTGAACATGCGAATGATAAGAAAGCAAAACAGCTGTGTTGCAGATATGGAGAAAGTTTTAATGGATTGAAGATCAAACCAGCCACAACATTCCCTTAAGCCAAAGCCTAATCCAGAACAAGGCCCTACCTCTCTTCAATTCTCTGAAGGCTGAAAGAGGTGAGGAAGCTGCAGAAGAAAAGTTGGAAGCTATAAGAGGTTTAAGGAAAGAAGCTGTCTCAGTAACATAAAAGTGCTAAGTGAAGCAGCAAGTGCTGATATAGTAGCTGCGGCAAGTTATCCAGAAGACCTAGCTAGGATGACTGATGAAGGTGGCTATACTAAACAACAGAGTTTCAGTGCAGATGAAATAGCCCTATATTGGAAGAAGATGCCATCTAGGACTTTATTTATTTATTTATTCATTTCTTTTGTTTATTAGTAGAGACGGGGTTTCACTGTGTTGGCTAGGCTGGTCTCAAACTCCTGACCTCAAGTGATCCTCCTGCCTGTGCCTCCCATAGTGCTGGGATTACAGGCATGAGCCACCGTGCCCAGCCCAATCTAGGATTTTAATAGCTAGAAGGAGAAGTCAATGCATGGCTTCAAAAGACAGGCTGACTCTTTTGTTAAGGGATAATGCACCTGGTGACTTTAAGATGGAGCCAATGTTCATACTATTCTAAAAATCCTAGGTTCCTTAAGAATTATGCTAAGTCTGCTTTGCCTGTGCGCTAGAAATGGATCAGCAAAGCCTGCATGACAGCAAATCTGTTTACTGCATGGTTTACTGAATATTTTAAACCCACTGTTAAGAACCACTGCTCAGGGAAAAAAAAAAAAAAAAAAAAAATCCCTTAAAAATAACTGCTCATTGACAATGCACCTGGTTACCCAGGAGCTCTACTGGAGATGTACAAGAAGACTAATGCTGTTTTCATGCCCACTAACACACCAGCCATTCTGCAACCCACAGATCAAGGAGTAATTTTGACTTTCAAGTCTTTTTGTTTGTTTGTTTTTGAGACGGAGTCTTGCTCTGTTGCCCAGGCTGGAGGGCAGTGGCGTTATCTCAGCTCACTGCAAGCCCCACCTCCCTGGTTCATGCCATTCTTCTGCCTCAGCCTCCCAAGTAGCTGGGATTACAGGCACCTGCCTCCACGCCCAGCTAACTTTTTGTATTTTTTTTTTTTTTTTTTTTAGTAGAGATGGGGTTTCACCATGTTCTCCAGGATGGTCTCGATCTCCTGACCTCGTGATCCGCCCGCCTCGGCCTCCCAAAGTGCTGGGATTACAGGCGTGAGCCACTGTGCCCGGCCCTAATTTTTTTAAAAGGAAAGTTTGACTTGAATGACTCAGAGTCCTGAAGACTATCAGCACAACGGCTTAGATATCCTGGTGCTACACTTTCACCCTCTCCCCGAGGGTCCCTGTAAGAACCGTTTTTGCCTGAGCAGGGATGTGCTTGATGTTTCAGGAATCACTGACGTTTCAGGACGTGGCCGTGGACTTCACCAAAGAGGAGTGGGACCAGCTGTACCCTGCCCAAAAGAACCTCTATCGAGACGTGATGCTGGAGAACTACAGGAATCTGGTTGCACTGGGTGAGGATGGTATCCCTGTGAAACTGGAAGCCATTCACGTGGGTTTATTTCCTGAACTAGTGGAAGCCTCCAAAGCTTTTGTGAATATAGTTTGGGCTGGGACAGAAGAACACTAAGCAGTTTTGGAGTCAGAGACCTTTGTTTTCTGCTCTTTCTCCTCTGATGGAACGTCTTGATTGAGTTTGAGATGAGTAGCTTTATTTTGCTGCCTCTGAAGTCTCCCCTCCAGAGGCTCTAAAGACTGAAAAAGTTGGGAATGTGTCTGAGAGAGAATTTTGTTCCCAGTACAAACTCCTAAGATGTATGTTACTCCCATGAATAGGGTATCAGCTTTATAAGCCAGAGGTAATTGCGCAGTTGGAGCTAGAGGAAGAGTGGGTGATAGAAAGAGACAGCCTGCTGGACACTCATCCAGGTAAGTGCACGCTCTTGGGCACTGCTGCTTAATAAGGGAAAACAGCCACTTCTGAACCACTCAGTGGAGTGCTCCAAAAATCTCCCCTGGGATTTAAGGAATACTAAGCCTTTTGAAAAGAATCAGTTCGTATTTGATATTTTTCTGAAGTTGAAATGGCTGCCTTATTTTTTCTCATTGAACAGATGATATATACTTATTGTTTTAAAAATGCACACAAAACAGAGGTTATTTTGAAGGTATCCATTTAAACACCCATAAATACCTTGATATTGCAGATATCCACACAGCACTTTCTTCATATTTTTTTTGATATTGCAGATATCCACACAGCACTTTCTTCATATTTTTTATTTACACATCCCCTCTCAGTATTCTTTAAATCTTTCTTTTCCATGAGAGGTGATCCGAGAATAAATTTTTTAAAAAGCTTTCTTTTCCATGTCAAAAATCTTCTGCCATTTTAATCTATTTTTCATCTTTTCTTTTTCCTTTTATCATCAAACTCTTGACACTTGTCTACAACCCACAGCCTAATTTCTAATTCTCTTGCTCTCCTTTGTGATACTACCCCGATTCCTACCTCTGCTACTAACATTGTTTTCTTGGAGATTACCACTAATTTCCTTCCAGTCAAATTGAGTGGCTACAAAGCCAGTTAGAATTGTGTTGACTTTCCCTTCTTGAAATGTTCTTCCACCCTGGCTTGTGATGCACACGATTCGTGTCTCCAGCCTCTCTCCGTATCTCCCCCTGCCCCTTTTCTGCATTTTCTTCCTCCTTATTCTCCTAAAGATATGTATCCCTATGGACTGGCTGTTCTACTCTGCAGTAAAGTGCTTTTAAGTAGCCCTTTTGTATCATTTTTCCATTTCTCCATTTCTAGTCCCAGTATTTCGTCCACATTCTCCTGTCAGAATTGAGATTATGGCTGGGCGCGGTGGCTCATGCCTGTAATCCTAGCACTTTGGGAGGCCTAGGCAGATGGATCACCTGAGGTCAGGAGTACGAGACCAGCCTGGCCAACATGATGAAACCCACTCTCTACTAAAAATACAAAAAATTAGCCGGGCGTGGTGGCCTCGCCTGTAGGCCCAGCTACTCGGGAGGCTGAGGCAAGAGAATTGCTTAAACCTGGAAGCGGAGGTTGCAGTGAGCCAAGATCATGCCACTGCACTCCAGCCTGGGTAGCAGAGCAGGTCTCTATCTCAAAAATAAAAAACAATTTAGATTATATTTTTGTTTATTAGTGTCATGCTGTCATTTTACTTAAATATTTCTTTTTTTGTTTTTTTTTTCCTGAGATGGAGTCTCGCTCTGTCGCCCGGGGTGGAGTGCAGTGGCGCGATATTGGCTCATTGCAAGCTCCACTTTCTGGGTTCACGCCATTCTCCTGCCTCAGCCTCCTGAGTAGCTGGGACTACAGGCGCCGGCCACCACACCCAGCTAATTTTTTGTATTTTTAGTAGAGACGGGGTTTCACCGTGTTAGCCAGGATGATCTCAATCTCCTGACCTCGTGATCCGCCCACCTCGGCCTCCCAAAGTATTGGGATTACAGGCTTGAGCCACCGTGCCCAGCCTACTTAAATATTTCAAAACCTGGATCTGTTGGCTTTATAATGTCTTCTTTAAATCATTCCCTTAAATACGGAATTTCTTGACCCAAAAAAAAAAAAAAAATCCCAACCACCTTAGTTTCTTATTGCTGGCATACCACCTACAATGTTCTGCTTGACTGTTTTAACAAGGAGTGGACTGCTGACTGTACACCAGATGCTGAGTTAGGTAGTTTCTACTCTGGTCCATGACACCAGGTGAACCTACCCCATCTCCGTGAGTTCCCACTCTGGCTCTTTGCTCTGGTATCTGGCTTCATCATTTGGACTTGGTTTTCTGTCATTCAAACTCTTTGGCTTTTTCAAGTTGACTTTGACTTGGCTGTCCTTCTTGCTTTTAATGCTCTAAGTGATCTTAGGTAGAAAACCTTGTTCCTGGCTGGGCACAGTGGCTCACGCCTGTAATCCTAACACTTTGGGAGGCCGAGGCGGGCAGATCACGAGGTCAAGAGATTGAGACCATCCTGGCCAACATGGTGAAACCTTGTCTCTACTAAAAATGCAAAAATTAGCTAGGCGTGGTGTCGTGTGCCTGTAGTCCCAGCTACTTAGGAGGCCAAGGCAAGATAATCGCTTGAACCCAGGAGGCAGAGGTTGCAGTGAGCCGAGATCGCACCACTGCCCTCCAGCCTGGCAACAGAGTGAGACTCTATCTCACAAAAAAAAAAAAAAAGAAAAAGAAAAGAAAACCTTGTTCCTGTTTCAGCCTCCCTGAGATCTCTCAGCCCCACTGAACCAGAATTTTCACCTAACCAGTGCTCACATTCCAAGAATAGAACTGGTAATTAAGACATTTTGTCAAGAAGCCCGGGCACCTTCCCTGACAATGCTGGGACATATTTCTGCAGCCTTCCACATCCCCAAACCTGCGGAGTAGGAAACTAAAGGAACAAATTAGAGAACTCCCTTTTCAGGTAAATTTCCAGGGCGGGGCTATTCCTTCCCCCAGGCACATATGCTGTCATCGGTAGGACCCACACTGTTTCCTATTGTGTCCCTCTCCACAGACCCCCAACTCGAAAAAATAATTGCTAACTTAGGAAAACTTCCAGATTTTGGCCAGGCGCAGTGGCTCATGGCTATAATCCCAGCAGTTTGGGAGGCTGAGATGGACCATCACTTGAGATCAGGAGTTCAAGACAAGCCTGGCCAATATGGTGAAAACCCATCTCTACTAAAAATACAAAAATTAGGCACATGTGGTGGCATGTGCCTGGAATCCCAGCTACTCAGGAGGTGGAGGTAGGAAAATCGTTTGAATCTGGGAGGCAGAGGTTGCAGTGAGCCAAGATTGCACCACTGCACTCCTGTCTGGACAACAGAGTGAGACTCTGTCTCCAAACAAATAAGCAGAAAACTTCCAAATTTCATTGTGCACCTATATGTGCATGCCCAGGGCTCTTGGTTCACAGATAAGCTTGAGCAAGTGTGTTTTTTTTTCACATCTCTTATCAGGGACAGGCAGCCTAACCTCTTCTCTAAAGAGACTGCTTGCATTTCTTCAGTATCCTGTGAAACAAAGTCAGTGATTCCCCTGAGAGGATGTAGTAAAACATTTGTTTGTCAGGGGGCTAAGAGAATGACAGAGCTTATGCAGCCTAATTCTGCATGCCCACTAGGGTACTGCATGCCTCAATGTTACTGACATTTGCTGGTCCTTATTTATCTAAAATATTTTCTTAAGCTGAGACCTGGAAAATACCCAGTAGATTTAGCAGCAAGAAGATTGGGAATTATATTATTGAGAGAAGTGATGGGGGATGATTAGAAGAACAGTCAGTTTGTACATTGTTGCATGAACAACAGGGGGAGGTTTAAAAAGAAAAAATTAGAGCTAGCAAGTGTGTAATATTCTTATAAGCAGCTAGAGTGAGAGCTGGGCACAGTGGCTCATGGCTCACACCTATAATCCCAGCACTTTGGGAAGCCAAAGCACATGGATCACAAGGTCAGGAGTTTGAGACCAGCCTGAGGTTCACCAACATGGTGAAACCCCATCTCTACTAAAAATATAAAACTTAGCCAGGCGTGGTGGTAGGTGCCTGTAATCACAGCTACTTGGGAGGCAGAGGCTGGAGAATCTCTTGAACCTGGGAGGCAGAGGTTGCAGTGAGCCGAGATTGCACCACTGCACTCCAGCCTGGGTGACAGAGTTAGACTCTGTCTCAAACAAACAAACAAAAAAGAAGCAGCAGCTAGCTAGAGTGAGGAGTGGGAAGGGGAAATAATAAAGAGGATATTAGCAGCCAGAATAAAAGGTAGTGTCAAAACAGGATTGTTCTAGGCCGGGCTCAATGGCTCATGCCTAGCACTTTGGGAGACTGTGGAAGGATCCCTTGAGCCCAGGAGTTCAAGACCAGGCTGGACAACATAATGAGACCCCTGTCTCTACAAAAAATTTAAAAGTTAGCGGGATGTGGAGGTATGAGCCTGTAGTCTCCACTACTTGGGAGGCTGAGGTGGGAGGATCATGAGCCTAGGAAGTCGAGGCTGCAGTAAGTTATGATGGCACCACTGCACTCTAGCCTGGGCAATAGAGCAAGACTTTGTCTAGAAAAAACAAAAGAATTGTTCTAAGCAGGAACAATTTTACTTGTTTATAATGCTGATGGGAAGGAACCAGTAGAGAGGACAAGTTAAAAATAGATACAGCTGGGTGCGATGGCTCACGCCTGTAATCCCAGCACTTTGGGAGGCCAAGATGGACAGATCACTTGAGGTCAGGAGTTCAAGACCAGCCTGGCCAACATAGTGAAACCCCGTCTCTACTACAGGTACAAAAATTAGCTGTATGTGGTGGCGTGCACCTGTAATCCCAGCTACTTGGGAAGCTGAGGCACTCGAATCACTTGAACCTGGGAGACGGATGTTGCAGTGACCCAAGATTGCACCACTGTACTCCAGCCTGGGTGACAGAGCAAGACTCCATCTCAAAAAAAAAAAAAAAAAAAAAAGCTACAAGAGATGGAGCAAGGTTCTAGAAGAAATGGGAGTGGGATTAGAGGGAAGGACATTAGGGTGACTATATATATCAGTAAATTTGTCAATGGAAGATTTGGGGGAGTTCACACATGATGACTTCTGTTTTCTTGGCAAATTAGGAAGCAGTGTCCTTTGTTGAGTGTAGGGGAATTGGGAAGGCAGGTAGAGGACTCATGGTGCATTTGCTGAAGCTTACAAGGGTCAATGGAAGCTGACCAAAGACAAGCAGAGGCAGCACTGAGCAGTGATGAAGGCCCCAGTGAGACTCTGCCCCATACAGCTGTGGTTTCTAATTTGCATGAGTATGCTCTTTCTCCTGTTTTATTTAGCACTCGAAAGGGTTTATAGGACAGGGGCTGAGGGTGTTAGATTTTGGGGACTATTGGAGGAAAACTGTGTG